TTTTATATTATAGAGTTTTGATTTTATTCAGAGTCTTTAAAATGAAACATAATAAACAAGTAAGGACTCTAAACATTTTGCTTCTATTTAATATTCTTTACCTTATTTTTAAAAATGTAATTGTATGTTTTCCCAAATGTCATACTGAGGATCACATTTATTGTTTATATGGGCAAAGAAAATGACTTACGAATTCTTTACATTCACTGGGGTATTTTCCAAAGTCATTATGGATCTTCAAATTTGAGAGTTCCCCTTTAGCACATAATTTATTCCCATTACCTATGTATGCAGATGAGCAAGAATAGCAATGCCAATTTAAAATTCAGATGCTGGATAACAAGCTAGGTTCATTTATTAGCTGAACAGATCTCTCTAATAGGAACTGTACAAGCTCCCTAGATTCGTTTTTGTATGTCAACAGATTATTTTATGTCACAGACATGAATAGTCAAAACTACTGATGTTAAATATTTGTATGCTCATCTGTATTATTTGGTATATAGGAGCTGCTTCTTCCGTGGCCTCACCCAATTCCTATTTCTCACTCCAAATGAAACTATATATTTTCACATTACTTCAGTTGTCAGATTTGAGGGAAAATAAGAAAAATGTAATTTCAAACAGAGGTAACACCTATTATGTCTCAAACAGGATCAGCCATTGTTTGAAGTCATACAGGAAGCAATGCAAAGACACATGCAGGGCATACAGTTCCGAGAAAGGAATGCTGGTCCCAAGATAGATCGAAACATGAAGGATGAAGGTACAGAACTTTAACTAAAATAGTACAAATTTATCGAGATGATGAAATTAAACCTTGTAATTGTTCACTTAATAAATATTTATTTGTAAGCCAAACCTCACAGTATAATGATGAAAAAGATTAACGTAGTTCCTGATCTCACCAAGTTTTTAGTTTCTAGAGGAAAGATAAAATTTTATATCTTTTGTCAGCCAATTTGAAAGATAATTTTGGTGGTTTCATTTGTAACTATAATAATCACCATGAACTGAACTGCATGTTTACTATGTGCTAGGCATTGTGGTAACTACTTTACCTATGTTATTACCATTTAACACTCACCAAAACTTTGGGAATGAGTGATATTGTTTCCATTTTTACTAAATGAAGACTGAAGCAGAGTAGCTTGCCCAGAGTCACATAGCTACTAAGTGGTAGAGGTAGACTTTACTCGTGGTCTGTCTCAAGAGCCTAGGCACTTATAAAATACTTTTTGTAAAAAGGTTTGTTTGTATATGGTATTAAAATAAATATGCTTTTCTAACTTCTGTTGAGTTCATAATGTTCCTCAACTCATGGCACACTATCATTGCTGCCAATGCAAGGCTAATAGTAATTTATTTCATTTTATTCCCCATTCCCCTTAGTCTTTCCAATGGTTTATTTTATATTTATTTTGTAAAATATGCATTGTTTTATGTTCATGTGAGTTTTTTAAACTTTATAATAATTTTGAAAGACTCATAAGAAGTTGAAAAAATGATACATAGTATGCCATGAACTCTTCACCCAGTGCAATATCAAAATCAGGAGATTGACATCAGTATGTTTTCAACTTTTACCGGTTTTTACATTCACGTGTGTGTGTATGTGTATGTGTATGTGTA